GCCCCCCCCCCGCCCACGCGCTGCTGCTGGAGGCACTGGGCACCTTCCAGGTGTGCGCCTGCACCCACGAGCTGCGGCTGCTGGCGGACACGCCGCCCCAGCCCTACGGCGTCCTGGGCCTCGCCTACGTGCTCACCGTCCTGCACGGCCTCACGCTAGTCGGCTGCACCTGCAACCCCTGTGGCACCTTGCAGCACGTGCTGGGCGGCGGCCTCACGGCCCGGCGGGGGGCGCTGCAGCTGGGCGCGCAGGTGGCGGGTGCCGGCTTGGCTAGGGCATACATGCACAGTCTCTGGGGCTCAAGCAGCAGCGTGGCCCATGCCAGGGCCTTGGCTGAGGGCTGCGCCCACCCCATCCGAACCACGGGGACCCAGGCCTTCTGCATCGAGCTACTCTTCTCCGCCGTCTTCCAGTTGACCTTGCTGCACATCGAGTCTGTCCGGCCCAGGCTCAGAGTCCACCTCGTGGCTCTTCTTATCACCCTGCTGGTCTATGGAGGTTAGTGGCCTCATTTCCACCCCATCATCATCTCGAGGGGCAGCATTTTGTTTTTAATCGAGGATTTTGGAAAGGGGGTGGGTGCAGAGGACGAGGTGCATCATCCCATGGAAAACAGCAGTGATTTTACTCCGGTTAAAAAGAAGCCAGAAGCTTGATTAATATATCCGAGGCCCAGGGCTGGATTATGCAGTTTAAGATTGAAGAAAAAACAAATGTGTCACTGGAAAGAGTTAAAAACAACTGGCAGGGCTGTGAAGAAGCTTGGTGACCAGGAGCAGCCAACAGGCTGCAGAATTGCAGAACAAAGGATAGCTTGATTGGTGGAAGGTGAGACCATTAAAAAGAAGAGAGGCTCGTTAGCACCTCTCTGATGAAGGGCACTTACACAGGCAGGGAGCCTGGTGCTGGAAATCCATCACCACAGGGCTTAATCGAGTCTGCTGGAGCATGTAAATTGACGCGCTCTGGCAGCCTTGCACGTCATATGCATCAGTAGGGTAGCGCACCTCTGCACTGAGAAAATGACGGCGGTGCGCTTTGAACTAAAACACATTCGATATGCTTTAGTTCAGTGCTCACCGCCACCATTTTCTCAGCGCAGAGGTGCACTGCACCACTGATACCGTATTGCCAATGCAGCACTGGATGCTTTTAATTAGCACAGCTTGCTAATTAAAAGCGCCCAGCGCTGCATTGGGAACACGTAAAAATGACCAAAAAGTTTAGAAGGGATCAGGTAGGTGATATTATAACAAGCCATGAAGTCCACTGGCTCCCTCAGCACAGCCTGACTAGACATGCTGCTGCCAGGCAGTTGGTTTTAACTTTTGGGTGGAGCAGGAATCAAAGAGGGTTGCCCTGCCCCCCACCCCAGATCTGCCCCTTTTTTAAATCGGCTGCGAGGTTTAAAAGCCACCTACCTTTTTGTGCTGCGAGCCGCTGGAGATCCAGCACGTCAGAGCAGACTCAGTTAATCAAGTGTGCTCCATGTGCGAGCTGACGTGGCCAGCTCTGTGTCACTAGCATTTGTTTAAATGGCAAAATGCACATCAGCACGCAGAAAATGGCATCAGTGCGCTTTTGAACTAAAACACTTTCAATGTGTTTTAGTTCAAAAGCGTGCCACCACCATTTTCTCAGCACATTTCTGATGTGCATTTCTCCATTTATACAAACGCATGCATTGTAGCACTTTCAAAAGCACCTGGCACTACATCGCACATGTCTGAAAATGCCCAATGACCCTAAGGCGGTTGCTGTGTTTTACAGCAGATGAAATACTGAAAAGGCTTAGATGCTGTCAAATGAACCAGGCAGGGCAAACTTTGGACTCCATGTAGATAATAAGGTCAGTCTGTATAGACCCTGTTGCAGGGTTTAAAGGCTAAGAATGAAACAAAAACCCATTTTTTAAAGAATTTATAAAACAACAGATGAGTAAAAATAAGTAAGAGGCACGGATTTCTTAGAGTGATACCTCTAAGGATTTCTTGGAGTGATACCTCTTATTGAACCAACTGCTTCATTCGGATAGTTGGACAAGCTTTCAAATGCAAGATGTTCTTCAATAAGTATTCTAATGTAATAAAAGCCGTAGCTTCCTGCTGTGTGTCTTATCTGTCTGTAACACTCCAGGCCAACTGTGCGTGCGCTGCCTGGAGCCTTACAGACAGACAGGCGGAGGCGTTGGGAGCCATGGTGTGCTCTGCTGCATGGGGGGAGGGAATGGGGGCGTGGCTTGCAGCCCTGCAAGGGGTGTGGCACAGGGGACCTCACACCTGGCTGCAGGGAGCAGGTGCTGGGTGTGCAGGCAGAGCCTACTGGCTGCCGCACGTGGGCGCGGGGCAGGGTGTGCCTCCCACTCCCTGCGTGGCACCCTGTGGCCACGCCCCACGCAAGGATCGCACACCAGGTGCAGCTGTGGGGTGCACAAAGGGGAACTTGGCTTCCGACTGCGTGCGCAGCGGGCATGCGGGCAGTGCCAGCCGGCTGCAGCATGGGGCCATGGAGCAAAGTGGGCCCCCCATGCCGGCTCCCTGTGGCCAAGCACCACAGCCCCGCTGTGCACCATGCGTCTGTACAGGGATCTCCTGCCGGCTGTGGCCGTGTGGTGCGCGGGGAGCATGGGGAGCCGGCGGGAGCAGGCAGCATCCATCGGCTGCAGCACGGTGTGCCCCCCACACCCACTCACCGTGCAGCACCCCATCGCCTCAAGCCACGCTCCCGTGCATGGGGAGCGCCCAGTGGCTGTGCCCACAGAATGTGGGGGCTGGGCCTGGTGTGCAGACAGCGCCAGCCAGCTGCAGCACAGGGTTGCAGGGCGGAGCAAGCTCCCCATGCCTGCTCCCTGCACGGCACCCTGCAGCCATGCCCTGCCAGTGACTGTTGGCTGCAGCTGCAGGGTGCGCTAGGTATGGGGGTGGGGGACATACCGTGCGGCTGCAGGGTACCACATGGGGAGCAGGCGTCGGGGTCATGGGAGTGCCCGTCAGCTGCAGCTGCGGGGTGGGGCACATGCGCCACACTGTGGCCGCACACCACACCCCCGTGCACACCCTGACCACATCTCAGGGCCATGCCCCATTTCACACAGCCAACAGGTGCTCCCCACACCATGGCTGATCCCCATGCCACACCTGTCAGCCGTGTGCCAATCCCCCTGTGCAGCCATGCACCACACATCCCCACGCGCCCTGCACCATGATCCTGGACCGCTCCCCATGTCAGATGGGCACAGCCAGCAGGCACTCCCACTGCTGTGGCCACTCCCTGTGCCACGCACGCTACCCTCCCCCCCATGTGCCCATGTGGCACGCCATGCCTCCTGTGTGCCACACCCTGCGGCCACTCCCATGCCATGCCCTGTGGCTGTGCACCACGCCCCCCACGTGCCCCGCACCACACCTTGGGGCTGCTGCCTGCACCACGCAGCCACAGCCAGCAGGCATTCCCCGTGCCATGGCTGCTTCCCGTGCCATGCCCCATGGTTACATGCCACGCCCCCCGTGCACCACCATCACTCCACAGCCTGAGGCCACTCCCCACACTGTGCCTCACGCCACACCCCAGGGCCACTGCCCACACCACGGTGCCACAGCCAGTGGTCATTCCCTGCACCATGCCCTGTAGTCACACGTCACACACCCCCACACGCCCTGCACCACACCCCAGGGCCACTCCCCGCACCACACAGCCGGCAAGTGGTCCCTGAGCCGTGGCTGCTCCCTGCGCCATGCCCCCACAGCTACGCGCCATCCCCCCCTGCGCAGCCACATGCCACCCCCCTTGCTCTCCCACCCTGTGCATGCAGAGCAGCAGCAGGGGGTTAAGCGAGGCAGAACCTGGAGCGGTGGTAGGAGGTGGGGAGCAGGGCTGGAATCAGAACAGTGGCAGGAGGGTGCAGGGCCAGATGCGGGGATCCATCCCATCTTGACCCCCCTGCCCCTTGTCATTAATGACGGGCATTTTGCTAGTAGTATAAATAAACAGTATAAAGTATGAAAGCTTGCTTAATAACTATTCTCCAACTATTTGGGTTGGTCTAATAAAAGATATCCAATTCACCCAAGGAACCTTGTCTGCTAAGAGTTTCTCCAGACACTTGTGTAAATGTATCATTGAAACAAATAAAAATTCTCTCCTAAATACAATTTTATATGTATGACATCCTTCATAACACTTCGTGTTGCAAGACTTTAAAACAGCAGGACTGAAAGAAATATGCAGATACTGTCCAGAGTAGAAAAATTGGTATTGATTTAATAATAGCAGCAGCCAGACCCTTAATGTAGACACATTACGCTGAAGTAAAGCAATTGATTGTGCGTGGCTATCCCGTCTGTAAGCAGTATGATGCAATCTCTAATTCCATGATTACCTACGATTTGTTTTACAAGAACTTGGTCTCATTCAGCGCATAAGGTGGACAGTGAAAAGGGCAGGGTTTTTTTTCCAGAAAATGGCCTCTTGCTTTTGGGCAGTGAACTGTAACCCAGAAGATTTGGGTTCTAGCTCTGGGTCTGTCACAGACTATACCTGGAAAGAGGATGAACTATATTTGTGAAAGTAAACTTAAACCTAATATTTACAAACTTTTCACTCTTTAACCTTGCAGTCTTAACATTTTTAACTACTGCATTCAAAACTACATGTATAGGTAGCTAATCCAACAAAGGAAAAAGGTGTGAAAAGCAAGTCCCCAAACTGGTTTTATGGATTAGAATCTAAAACAGAATATTGCAAACTAACTCTTACATAATACTGAAAACGCTAAATTTAAAAAATTTAGCTTCCCCCCCCCAAAAAAACCTAAATAGTTTAGACCTTGACATAGATTAATAAAGTGCCGAAGTTTGCTTTTAAAGTTTTTTTTATTTATGCATTCCAAAAGGTGTGCTAAACCTGGGAATTTAATTCAGCTTAATTGCTTCTTTTTAAACTTTGTTTTTACAAGCTATTGTGGGTGTGCTTTTCAAATTGATCTCTATTGCAGTTATAAATGAACCAGAAGTACCAGAGTATATTGTTACATGTTGAATTTCTGCCTAGAGTGAAGTTTTATATACTAGTAGGTATTTTAAAAGGTTCTGCTGACAGAACTAAGAGTGGCTGTACTTACAAATTCCTTTTCACAGTTGCTTTTTCAATTGTTGACTCCATATCAGATGTTTTCTTTTTATTTTTATAGGATTGGGTTTTTTTCTGTTCTGGACAGAGACTTGCAGGAACCTAATGAGGACAAAGTATTCTCCGATTCATAAATACTGTTATTTACTTCTGTGCAGGCAGTTCTATTCACTTAAATTTAGGGGTTCACCAGTATATTGGTTGGCTATTGGATCAGCACTGATAAAAGGTGAAATGACATTATTGGCCATAGGCGATGTGAAGGTGGGGTACAGAGGGGCACGTGTCCCCCTGAAATTGGCCCTTGCTGGCTGGGGAATGGAGGCGCCAAAAGAAGCACTGGTTGGTACCCCCCTGTGATTGTGGGGGCATTGAAAGAAGCGCCAGCGGCACTTCCAAACCCCCCCCCGCCCCCCCCCCGGTTGGTGAGTGACCGCTGGTGCCCCCCCCAGAATTAAGAGGCACCAGTCACCCATGATTATGGCCGCGTGCCCTGAAGAGTAGTCTGGTCCCTGTGCCCCACCACTGACCCAAGCCAACAGCAGACTACAGGTCCCAGCAAGTAGCAGGTGGGAGAGGGGGCACTGGAAGTGGTCACAAGGCACCGCACTCAGCAACAAAAGGACCGTTACTGGCTCATACTGCTACCACTGCCATGGCAACACCATGCGCACAGCAGGGCCTGAGCACTGGAGCTGCTGCAGGGATGTTGGGCTGCTCATGGGTGGGGTAAGGCGCCATGCGAGGGATGTTCTGCTCCATCAGGCATCAGGTGTCTTTGCAAAAGTGGCTGCAGGAGCTCAGCTGCACAGGGACCACCAGCACTGAGGCAGTAGTGTGCTCTGGGGCTCCCAACACACCTGGCAGCTCTGTCCACATGAGTTATAAATGCAAAACAAATCAAAATGGTTTATTTATGTAAGTAGTTTAAAATGACTGGCACTTACTAAATATTGGTTATTGGATTGGCACTGGCTGATATGGTTGGTTATTCATCAGCTCTCGGTATCGGCCAAGAAAATTTTTGTAGGTACACCCCTACTTAAATGTATCTTTATCCATATTGCTTATTATCAGAATGAGCTTAATACATTCTTATATCAATACACCTGGTTACATTAGCCTTTCTATCACTTTCACTAATCTGTTACAAAAACTTTGCATTGCTAACTTGTAGGATTCCCTGATAAAACTCTATTTTATTGTAAACAATTTCTTCGACTGTTAAAAATCTTTGCTCACATTCCTCCACTCTCTTATTTTCAGTAGCTCTGAACTGCGGAAGTTTAGGGTAACTTCACTGTTTTTAAGGAGAGACTGCCCTTTGAAAGCAGTTAAGATCCTTTTAATCTTTTCTTGAGCCCATCTGCACAGCATTATATTGAAGTTTCTGTTACGTAATTTCCATGCTGTGATGCCAAATGGTTAGGGAGAATGAGATATCAGAAGCTAATGATCAACAAAGGGCAGAAAGCAGGACTCGGGGCACTAACATTCATATTTAGTGGACTTAGTGTTTACTTTCACTAATTCAGACAGGGAAAATCAAAAGCAGCTTAAAAATAATTTTAAATAGAAGCTGTGAAAAGCAAACAAACCAAATGAACATGGACAAAAGCAGTCACAACTAAATGCTATAGCAGCCTGCAGAATCCTGTTTCAATACTTTAACTTTTCAGCAGGATGGCCACTTATAAGAAAGATACTCATCAGGCTATATTTGTACATCCAGAAATGTTTCCCCTGATATAAGTAGAGTTATACTAAGACTGGGGCTAGCATGCATAATGTAATTCATTTTTATTTATGTGCCAAATTCTGAAAAGCCCTGTGCATGTTCACTGCCATTTTAAGTCAATGGCAGGTGAAGGTGCCCCGTTCCCCTCGAGAGTGGCCCTGTGTTTGGGCTTACTGTCTTTAAGTGATACATCATTCAAATGTTATAACCTTCTCCTATCGCTATTATTGTCTAGTGATCTTACCATGCAATTCCATAAATAAAATGTAGAGTATACGTTTAGCAGTAAGAGATCATGACCACTCTGTATGTATACGTCTGTGTATGATGTTACATGCATAAGTTGTGTCCTCTGCAGCCTGGGCACTTTCACTGTATTGAGGTTTTCATAGGAACCAATTTTATGGTTTATTACCCTAACCTTCTCCAAGATGAGCAGTCTGGCTCTCTACCTAGAGTCTTTCACTTTGGGCTTTTGCTCCCTTCGCCATTTGGCTAAACCTTTTTAGGAAAGCCAGAAAAAAAAAAGAAGTACATTTATCTGTGGCAGCTGACGGGTCATTGTGTTGAGGGTTA